AATGCTGCGACACTCACCAGGGGTTTTGAGACCAAAATCTCCATATAAAACATGTCGTCAGTCCCAGTTTTACATCTTTGACAAAACAAAGATAAGATATTATTTTACAAATGGATTTTGGCCTCACAAATCCACGGTTATTCTTATTATGGGAATCAATTTACCACATGATAAGTTTACTTTACAAAAAAAAATACAATTTTGAACAATTTGAAATTAACTTTACCCTCATACACTTCTCAAAACGCGAACAACTTTTATTTATACTCATCACTTTACCCAGAGAATAGTTCGTAACGAAATTTTCTGTTGACACGGTATAGTTCAAAGTAAAGGCTAGTGTTCGAGTAATAATGCACTTTGTAAAGTACTCTATAAAGTTTACATTAGTGCGAGCTGCCTTAAGATAATAGACCCGCCAGCATGAACCGCCAGATATGTTAAGTATCTTATCCTCGTATGCACTGCACTCCGCAGTTTCCATGCCACATCTATAACTTATCGAGTCCATAAATCTAATGCAAACCACTCTGAGACTGCGCTCTTACTCAACCAAATATAGTTACTGCTTGGTTGACTCCGGTTGTATTTAATAAAAACTGATTTATTTTAGTCGATAAAAGAAAAAGGTATGAAAAAGTAAGAATTAAAAGACTGCCACTATTTAAAAAAATTAATCAATATTTTGGAGTATGTAAGTAAGTACTTGTGATGTCAACATATTTGTACATAGTAAATGTTAATTATACGAGGATTTTGCCAGTTGAAAGGTTTATAATTTCGTTAAAAAATCGTTATCAGAGAGATCGCTGTTGTTAGATTTCTGTATATCTGCTTAGTAGAGACTGGAGTTCCAACGGTTGGAAAACGATATAGTTTTAATACAATTCTGCACGTCTTTTTTATTCCTTTTTCAAAAGTTTTTCTAATCTTATTGCTAAATAATTGGATAAAAGTTATTAGTTTTTGTAAGATTATATAGAGAGCAAAAAGAGAGTGAAAGTAAAGATTTTAATTAATTCTTTTCATCAAGCGCCCTTCATGTCAACCAGTCGACAGCTCTCAAACTTGTATAAAGCGACCGACCAGCATTCAGTGCCAAATGAAACTTTATCTCATTTCCTATTTCATCAAATGTAGCGCGGAGGTGTGTGCGCTCAGCCTCGATTGGTGCAGCTTAGATGAACTTTCAATGGATCTCTGCACATACTTATTGGCCTAAGTAAGCACCCGCGGGGCTTGTTGAAATCAATTTAAAAGGGTAAAAGTTTGTATTCATACGAACCGCTCGTACCAAGGCTACATAGCTCGTCGCCACCTTTTGAAAATAAAAAAAGAATTTTAAAATATTTCGTTTTATTTCTGCAACATTTTACAAACCTCGACACGGACCTGCTGCACATTTCATTTAAACATCCCTAACACAGGTATTCATTTCAAGAGATGAATTTGAACGAGCGAATGAACACGTGATGTTACTAACCTACTTTTTCGTAAGTAATGAATGTATAATTTTTGATGCGACGTGCGACGTGCCGGCGTAGCTGCGGGTACACAAACAGTGGCGGCCTCCGCCTGCTTCCCGCCTGACTCCTGCCCGCAGCCGCCAACCAAAGTCAGGGAAAAGTTTCTCACTTAGGCGGTTCGAGGAGCTTTTACCTTAAAGTCGAGTAAGTCCAATCCGACGATTGCTAGGTAGCCTCCCCAGCAATTTGGATACTAACCAAAAGCACAAGACGCCGCGCCAGCTGCGGCGACGGCGAGGGCGAGCGTCCACACAGCACAACACTCACACGAGGCGTTGGGGCCGCTTGCGCGTGCACGCGTCGCGCAACATGGCCGTGCCCGAGCCCGCGGCAGCTATCGACCGTGCGCCGGCCCGCGCCGCCCAGCGACTGACGCTCGACCGGTGCGCGCGCAACGACCCTCCGTCCGCGCCCCCTGCACCCGCCGCCCGCCCCGCGCTCGGCCCGCCGTAAGCCCCGCGCCCGGCGAGCGGTCTCGCACAAACACCCAACTGCCACAACTTTTCACAAAACTTGAATAAAAAATTTAAACGATAATATAAGCAATATAAAATCATATACATACCAGATTCTTTAATAAATATTTTTTATTAATTTTGACCACTGTAAAACTAATAAAAAATTGTTTAAATGATGCATCTGAAGCAACAAAATTCTAATTAGAAATGAATAAGTAGCATCATTATATTGTAAAAGACGCTGTACCTGAAACAAAAACGTGGCACAGTTCTGGGCGGATGTCACGTGACGAGCTCGGCCTGAGGGAGTCCGCGCGAGCCTCCCGCTCCGGCCCGAGGCTCTTTCTCGTGTTTATTTTCAGCTGCGGCCGGCGACAACGCGTGCCCCCCGTTGCCAAGGTAACGCGCCCTCCGCTCGCCCGACTCGCGCCGGACATAGCCGAGCGCGCAGCACGCAGCCGGGTAAACGATGCACCGGGATTTCGATGATGTTGCTTAGGTAAGCTACCTTGACAGCTGCAAAACTTTATTTCTTTTTGATAACAATTTTATAACATCGGTTCTGTTCTCAGCTTTTATCTCTTTAACTTTAATATAGCTTTATTCGTCACACTGTTATAAATTAGATCACATTGTTTTTAATTTTAATTTAATAAATCTATTGCGACGTTTCTGTTTGCCCTCAAAGGATTTATACGAATATGTACAAAAATTGGTAGTTAATAATATTAGAACGTAATATATTATACTAAAATATCACCATAATCAAGACATCGTTAATTCGTTTCAAATTAAGCTCGTCGCTGCGCAATGCTACGATCGCTACGTACAAGACCAGAAAAAAGATTGTTATCGTATTTTAACGCATAAAATGATAACCTTTAAAAACTACCATTGAAAAAATCGTGTAACAATACGTAGCTATATACTGCTACGAACAGCTACATATTTTCGTAACACAAAATGAAACGCACTGTACAACGAAAAGTAATAAAAGAGAATTAATTAATAGAAAAATTCTCGTTTCCACGAAAAACGTTCGTTATTACGTTAAATGGAAAATGTTCTTGTTTTATCGCATGTTCATTGTGATTATAAAATTTCTTAGAAACGAGTAATATATATTAAAGATCATAATTTATTTAATTACCTGTTTGCTGAAATTGTATTTATTATTCATTTGATACTCAACAAATTGTACTAAATATTATTCTTAATAAACTTCACTTGTTCGATCATCAACTTACTTTTTGTTTCTAAAACTAATTTTATCATTATTCATGAAGTATCCACGATTCAGACTTAGATAAAATTTTCTCCTTGTCTTTATAAGCTTTCATTCGGAAAAAAAACTTCGTATCACGACTAACACATAGTTATCTTTGACGGCTTAAATTTCTCTAAAGTGATTCGAATTTCTTACCTAATAAATTCAAATTATTACTACCTTTTCATTATTACCTTCTTCTGCTTCATTTCATTTTACATTTTTAATGTATTTTAGTTTTTGGGGAAACTAGTGGAGCTTACTGTCACAATAAAATAGTAAATAAATTTTTGACACATCCAAAGCGGAAATCCTGTCTATCTCTGTCCTGTAACCAGGTAAATGTTCTTGTTAACACATAACGGTAATTGATTACAACTGAGTGTGACCGCAAAGCATCAAAGCTGAAACTAAATACAATGCAAGTGGACACACCTCTCCGCCCCCGAATCAATTATCAGGCAAATGTATTCAGATTGGTCATCCAATTAACGGCCTCAAGTATAGGTAGCGCATCGTCTCGCTCCGATCCCTTTGATAATATTTAATAGGGTTAAATCCCAGTCGTTTGTTAACCGAGACGTCTTAGTAATGCAGTGCCACTTTGACACAAACAAAGCTCCGAGACATACACAAGTATATTATATACTTAATTTAGTATATGTGCATCAGAATATCGCTTGATCATTATATAATATATATATATATCTGAGATGAAGTAATTTTTTCTATACATTGTGCGAGGTAAATTTTCACCGATCCTAGTTTAAGATTGAAATATCAGTGTAGAGTATCTAAAGTAAAAAGGAGCGAACGAACACAAAGTTAATATGGCTACTTAATGTTTCAGTGATTAAACACAACCTCATAATATATTATAACTTTAGTCCGCTGAAACTTGCACAAAGAATCTCGGCAACGAGCGAGAGATAGATAGAAAAGTACAGCTGGCGGCAGACAAATAATAATTTCATATCACGTCGCTGAATGTACCGCGCTAACTAATGCACACACTCGCATTGAGCCGCCTCTGCACTTTTACGCAGTGTTGGCTCTTTGTTAATTAATGTTAGCTTCAATGCGAACACTGCTTTTACCGCACTGCGCTGCTCCAAGTACTTGTCTGTAGCGAACTGCGGTCACTGCAATATATTCAAAACCTTATTTATTTTATGAAAAAATACCCAGAACATAGTTTACCTGATTCCTGCGTCGTGTACTTAGATTTACTTCTCATGGTGAGTAGATGTAAAATTAAAATTAATTTTGTTACCCCGTTGAATTACTTTACTAAAATATTCTCGGCTGGCTATAAAGCTAGCATCCCTTTTTAAATTTAACGCGAGAGAAAAGGACGTTTTAATTAGTAATAAATTAGATGGATGCAGCAGTAAAAGCATCCCCGTATAAGTCATAAGAAAGTAACACTGGCAGAAAGCTGTTTTATATTTAATGTCGAAAACTTAAAAATAAACTCGTTAGCGTAGGGCGTAGGTCATCATTAACCACATCGCCATTCAACGTTAACATTAAGCGGAATCGTTTAGGCGCAAGCTTATATACAATCAATATTTAACAAATACTGATTTGATGCAATTCTACAAATATATGTATTTTTAAACAATTAAAATTAAATTAAATGGTAAAACTTTGGATTAAAATATAAATATAAATATGTTTTATACAATGTTAAGATTAAAACGAAACGTTATCTCCCACTGTCAACTGTCATTCTTAAATGACATCTGTCACTTGTGGAGGTTATGTTTTTGCCTAAAATAAATAGACCCGATATGTTATAAGTACTGTTGCATTAAGAATAATTAGAGAACTTAGATTACTTTTCCATTAAAATGTCGTTAATTAGAACAGGCTTGCAAAGACTAGCAACCGTTTTTAGTGGAAGTAATGGTAAGCAACATAAATCTAATTTTTTTGTCTCATAATTCACATTTAAATAACACACCACAATTCTTTTCCAGGAGGCATTTTATCTAGATTTCTCACAAATGTTGTGCCTGCTCAGCAGCAATCTATTAATACCCAGAAGGAAGTGATAGAGACATGTAACAGAATGATTGCACAGAAACCGTCTCGTAACTTTGCTATTATACATCTCCTGGGTAAACAATGGCGAGTGAGTGATGGCGATCTACTCGTAGTAGAAGGATACTGGCCGCCAAACATTGGTGATCAGATAAAATTAGAAAAAGTACTTTTAGCAGCAACAAAAGATTTCTCATTGATTGGTCGGCCACTCGTACAACCAGACCTAGTAACAGTCACAGCTACTGTGGTCTCCAAGGGACTTTCACACACTCGCGTACACTTCAAAAAGAAGAGGAGGAAGCAGTTCATGAGAATCAACTTCCAAAGAGCTCAGCAGACTATGCTGAGAATTAATTCTGTTGAAATTGCTGATAAAATTAATGCAAGACCTAAAAATGAACAGTGAATGTTGTTATGATTTAGACTAAATGTAGATAACAAATAAATCATTAAAAAAATACTTTTTATTTAATTAAATTATTTAATTTAATATATTGATTTCATATCTAGTTTTTTTAAAAAGAAATAATTTATTAAACTACATATATCACCTATCTAATTTAACACTATCACAATATTTCTGAAATTCCAACTTATGTTCCTCTATTAGAAATCTTTTCATTCCCTTAAATAAATAAAATAGCTTTTTATTTTCAAGCAATCTCGTCAATGTATCCAATAATTTGGTATAATTTTCTTCCTTCTTGTATGCTGATATTGACATTTGAAATTCTTTATATTTCTCCCCATCCAAAAGCACTTTAATTTCTTTAACAAAGTCAATCAGAGATTCAGGAGCGACCCTTTCTATATTACTAATTTCTTTGCTTTTCGTAAGGTTCTCCTCAAAACCAAATGCTTTGATTTTTAACTTTTTCTTTTTAGCACCAGTATTTAGACTAACATCCTCAGCATTCCTTTTGTGTATTGTCACCAGTGATTGTATCTCAGTTTTGACAGATTCATTACTGCAGTCCAATGCGCTAAAAAGATCTTTAGTTTCCTTCGGTCTAAATTCATTTAGATAATTTGATGCTTGAGCTTTTTTATAAAAGTCCATTGAAAAATCTGCATACACTTCATTAGAGTTTGGATATTGACTTACGGATTTATTTTGGGGATTTTTATTGATAATTCTTGTGTTTGCCGCTGGGAATGAAGCACCACTAGATGTTGCAATACTTTCTTTGTAGTTCACATTGCTCTCATAAGGTAACAGTGGTTTTAATCTTGGGGCTGGCAAAGATGTTTCAGCATTCTTGAAAAATCTACAAATCTCACTGACAGTTTCTCCAAATTTATTTGATAAGTTTATGTAATCCCTGAGCCAAGCAGACAGCTGATTTTTTAACTTTGGACTGTTAAATCTACCATCACAAAGTAATATTGCTCCATAATCATTTTTGTGTCGTATAACTCTACCAATAGCTTGATTAACAGCTCTTGTTGCTTCTAAAGCATACCATTCATCCCCCGATAGGTATTCCTTGTCTTTTACTCTCAGTTCTTCTAGGTATTTTTTCTTTAGAATTATTCGTGGGTCTTTCAATGGAGGAAATGGTAGTCCTGTTATTATAACAGCCCTACCATTCATATCTGCAAAATCTAAGCCTTCTGATACCTTACCTCTACAAACAGCCATAAAACAAGCACCTTTGGTATTAGGATCACTTATTTTGCTATAGAAATCGTTAATAATAGCGTTAAATGTGTCCTTTCGTTGCGGTTCAACAAATATTGGTTTAATGTTGTTGATACCAGACCAGATTCCTTCATTTTGCCACATCTCTTGACATTTGGACATAATTGGATAAGATGGAAAGAAAACTAAAAGTCCGTCAGGTACAACACGACAGAAACTTAAAATGGTTCGACCTAAAGATGAAATATATTTTGGATTGTCTCTATTTTGATAGTTTGAGTTAAGTGGTGTTCCATCTGGACCTTGGCCAATGATCTTAACACAAATTTGATTAGATTTCACAATATGTGGATTCTCCAATAGAACACCTATGGGTATTCCTAATTCAGAAATTAAAGGTTTTAATGGAGCAAGAGTTCCACTAGTTAAAATAATGCTTTTTACATTTTGTTCCAATAATTGTTTCATTCCGAATCCAGGACTGAAGCACCAATAGCTAAGCACTCTTTCGCTAGTTTTAGTACTAGTGGTCTTTAAAGCACCCCAGCTATCAGACTTTTTGTTCTTTTTATCCTCCACGCTTATATGGACTTTGTAACATAATTTCACTCGCTCTTTGTAGGCATGTGTGGTACCACTGTATACAACATTTAACAAATCTACAATTTTCTGTAAGCCCACACCTTTACGTTGAAATGGTGATGCATTGGCTGTGGACAGATATTGAATAAGGTTTTCTATTAAAGTGATGACTGTCATTTGGTTGTGATCTTTGATCTCAGCTTTAGATAGAAGCTCAAATATAAAACTCCCAGGGTATGTGGTACCTTCACTCCCTACACTTATCTCATCTATAGCTTTCTCTAATGCCAACATCATTTCTTTCAAAATACACAGATCATCACAAGTAAAGTCTTTAGGTGTAGTATTGTCAAGAGTTGCATCCATTTCTTCATTGTTCTCAACAAAACTCTTCATAACATGTGTTATTTCATCAATACACAAAGCCACATCGGTTGTGCGGATCTGTAATGAAGCTGATTCTTCACACATTTTCTCAACATTATGAGCTTCATCCAAAATTACAATATTGTTCATTAGTTCGACACCATTAGCTTTTCTTGATTTTGGATCCAATATATAATTGTATGGCATAAATATTATATCAGCATCTTGTTTAAGTTCTTTGGATAAATAATAAGGACAACATTTTAACTTCTTGCCCACACTAACTAAATCTTCAATGTCTAAGATATCATCTCCTTTAACTGACCGGTCTTCCTTCTTTGATTCAACATTGTTATAGAAGAAACAGGTCCTAGCTTTCACTCTGAGTTGACACATGTGAACTTTGTTCATATTATTTGTTTCTTTAGAAACTTCTGGATGAATACACATTTGATCTCTCGAACCCAACACGGCTGCTTTTACATGTCGGTAACTTGATCGTTTTAATTCCTGCATCGCCTGTGTTAACTGCGAATGTGTTCGTGACGAATAAATAATTTTTGGCATACCCCAGGATGTGTTATCTTTAGATTTGCCACTAGCCTTTAAACTTTCTTTTAAATTACCACTAAATCCGCCACCACTGTGCTCCGAGAAATTGCCAACCTGTGCATTCATTTGGAGTTGCGCTTTTTTCACTAACAGCCAGGCCAGTGAAGAACACAGCAAACTCAGGGTCTTTCCCGTTCCAGTCGGTGACTCCAGCAAAGCATTCGTATTGTTTTGTAAACTTTCAATCACTTTTTCCATGTACGCTCTTTGCACTTCATATGGTTCGAACGGAAAACTAACAGGTATACCAGATATCATTACTTCAGGCATTTTTATAGCGTATTTGGTACCCCTTAATCAATGCTTTCATTCGCGCCTCTTTATTTCAAAATAAATAAAAAATATTTGAAATTTTATACAGAAAAAACGTCATTCGCCATGTGTCATCTGTCAAAATTCCCGCAATTTTATTATACCAGCCAACCAGCGATCATAGAGAGCATAAATATTTTTGTGGTGGTCCAAAAATCACACATTGACTACAGAATGGCATCTTATAAGTAACTACTATCGAATCTTAATCATATTACAAGGGAATAATACAAACATGTTAACAAAGTATATATTTATTGTTATATTGATATAGTGACACCGTGTATTCTCACAAAGTTGTCACTTCCGCAGCTCGCTAGTAGCGCCCTCTTGCTGGATTCACTTTTCGACATTTTTGGATTGAACATAAGCCGTTTAACGGTTAAGTGATGAGCAGCACTGGAAAAAACAACGTGATTTTTATGAGATTGCTATTCCAATGGCCACAGAATTATTTAATTCGCTGATATTTATACCTATTATCCAATTCTTGTAATAAGCACCATCCGTCGATACAAAAGCTGTATATCCTGATAACACCAGATTCGAAACCAGTAGCAAGTATCCGCTTAGTGTCGACATTGAAGGGTGCAAAGTCGATTGCCGTCACAGATGTATTTGCCAGTTCTAATGGTTTGCCGCAAAGGCTGTGGTATTTCAATGATGTGGAGGTCAATTCGTCCGTTTTGTGCCAAACACAAACCTGAGAAAGTTAAAGTTTTAAGTTTAACATAATTTTAATATCACATTCCTTTCAAAGAGAGCTTAAATCGTGTTAATTTTAAGTTACAGTGACAGTTACATGCGGATGAACACATACTGTCCGAGGCATCTGGGAAGGTCTATTTCCAACAGTGGACTGACAGGTTGATGATGATAGTAATATTTGTATATTTAATCCCACTTTTAATAGTTTATACTTTACTAAATGCCTTACCTTGCCATCTCTAGATCCAGTAGCAAACACCTGACCATCCTTAGCCCAGGCGCAGCACCAGATTATCCTGGTATGTACGCCGTTACTCTTGTCCGTGCACGCGGACATCTCAAATGTATCCATGCCTTGTTGCCTTTGGTATAAGGTCCACTTTCGGTCCCGGGACACAGATAGCAGCTGTTGACTGTCCGGTGAGAACGCTAGCTGAGTTACTGTCAACGTATGTGATACCAGCTTCTGTATTTGTTGCCAGTTCGTTGTTTCCCTAGAATTGAACAAAAAATAAAGTTAGATATAAGTAATTTTTACAGTACAAAAAATATCGTAGTAAACGCTGGCCATAGACAATGAGTTAAAAGCCGATTAGTTGGTTACCTTTATCGGACAAAGGAGAAAAATTTGTATTTATTTGATTTTCTTACGGTGAAAGTAAATATCGTGATGCAACTTGCCCACATCTGCGGGGAAATTCAGAGATATGTACGAAATCATCCCGCACTGGGCCAGCATGATGGATCGGATACTCTCAGTAGTATAGTATAGTAAACTGTTGATGTCTCATAAATAAATTGAAACCATATGAGCACTGAGGCGTGTTCCTGGGCGTTGGCGCGCGCAGCGGAGGCGAGCAGGCGGGCGTCGGGCGCGGCGGCCAGCGCGAACACCTCGTGCCCGTGCCCGTACAGCTTGCGCCGCTCCGGCCACAGCGTGTTCTGCATCAGCATCTCCTCGCTGGGGGGCGCTGACGTACACTTCACATTACTCACAGGCTAGACTAATGCTTATACACTATGCCTAACTGACCCGGTGGCCAAGTCAAACTAAATTATGACAGCTCACTAACGATCCTCTGTCAAAGTCAAGAAAGTCAAAAGATTTGTGCTGTAGCTGTCATGTTATTTTTTTTTCTTTTAAATAATTTTCTATGTCTATATAGGTTTAGCTAGGTAGTTTCATAGTCTCCTCTACTTTAAGTTGGCAATTAGCGTCGTAAGAAACAGCTTTAAATTACCGTTCAAATGTACAGGAACGAAGTAACCATCGTTATCGTCTTTGTTCCCGGTGTCGCCTTCTTCACCGTTGAACACCGCCTTGTTAGATAGACCCAGGGAAGGCACCGACGCTCCTTCGGGACCTGTTATAGGAAAAAAATAAAAAATCGTCAAAAAAGTTTCTTTAAAAAACTTATTGTTTTTGAACATCGGTTGTGACTGGCGGTAAAACGGCTTATAAATGCCATAAAATAATTCTAGTAAGAATATAAAACTCACCACCTATTTCTTCCTCTACCAACTTTTCGCCGACAATATTATGAAAGTTTTGTAGGAAGTTGTGAGGTGCCTGGAAGACCCGGATGACTTTCTCCTCTGCAGCGGATGCGAATGTGGTGGCTGTGAGGGGCGCTATGGAGGCCAGGTCGTAGCCGTGCACCTGCGGCCGCGCCACCTCGTGCCACTCCACACCAACATCTACAAGTTGGTAATTACATAATTAAATAACAGCTGTTATTTAATTACTTTATTTATATTATTGTACATAGTTTTCATTATTTAAAATGGCAACTCGTGAATAGTCATTGATTTGGGACATAAAAGAATATTTGTGCAATAAGATACTTTTGATTCTTTACCATCAGACATAGTCCAAGGCGCATGCAATCTGGTGGTCTGGTCTGCGCTGACGCTGAGTAGGTACCGTCCGCGGTCAGGTTCCCAGCGCGCGTCTTCCACACTGCCGAAGTGACCTCCGCACACCACTTGGGGTTCCCACTGACTTGTCTCCTAAATATGCGGCAAGAATTCACTAATGCTTGCTTATAATGTAACTTTCAATGTCATATAATACTTATTGAAATTAAGTCAAAAAAAGTTAGTGACTCAAATACAAGAAAAAAAAAGAACTAGTCCAAAGTTATTACCTCATTCAATGTCCAAATGTGAAAAGATCCATTATAGCCATGTCCAAGGAAGGATTTTCCATTGGGTCCGAAACGACTGCCATAGAAACCCAGCCCATTGCCCCCCACCTCTCCCACGCGGACTCTCTCCACCCACGCCCCTTCTCCCAACTCTGTAGATTCCGGCTCCCAAATTATCAGAGTTTTGTCAAGAGATGATGACAATAGTCGGTAAACTGGGACATTTCTTTTGTTTTCTGAAAGTTAATGATTTAAAACAGTATAGTAAAGTGAACTTACTAATATCAAGTGTGAAATTGTTGATGGATAGATGTATGATTGGTACCATATCAACTCCAAATCAATTTTCTTATAATCAAATTAAATACTTGTGTCATATCTCATTGGATGCCACTGCACTCCATACACCCAGCCTTCGTGTCCAGCCAGTACTGCTTCTAACTTCACAGACCAATCTTTCCCGTAAGCATGGAAGAGTTTCTGTTCCACTCGTATCTCTGTTGTGGTCTCCACTTCTGTATGCAAATGGATCCGCCACAAACGGATATATGTATCTTGTGATGCAGATGCCAGTAGCACTGAGTTCTCATCTGGAATAAATTAATTTGAATTCTTAACATAATCATTTCCTGAGAATGACTTTAAAACATATTTTGATAACCACCAACAAAATAATTCTAACATTCCTTCTCTTTAAAATAAAGGGAACAAAGATGTGTTTGCAAAACTTTAGTCAGTCATTAGTAACAAAAACAAACAAAACAAACTAAAACACTGACAATTCAAATTCATATATTAATCAGGTTATGTTGACTTAGGATCAACAAAAAGTTTTTTCATAACAAAAGTGTTTAGTTCCTTGTTATACTAAAGTTGAAATTATATTGCATGTTTTATAAAAAAAATATATTATTCTTAACTTACCAACATCTAACACATCAAGTCCTCGGACCCAATCCTCATGTCCCACCAGCACATGCACTCTATGATATTCCTCTCCAGCAAATATGTGTATCTTGTGGTCATCCAGTGCACAGAACAGAACCGGCTGATTGACTGCTGGCAGATTGTGTGCATACAGGGTCAAACATAAACCCGAATTTAAATTTATTGTTTGTTTTAAGGACACCACACCTGAAAATATTTCGTGTCATAAACATATGTCATAAATTTGTTTGGATACTATCATGAAATTGACTATTTTTATTATATAGTAATAAACTAATAGTTTATTTCATATATAGCAGTAACTTTACGTAAAATAAAAATGAAAGCACATTTGTTCACACATGTTATGTCTGAAATAAACTATGTCTAAGATTAGAATTAGTTTAAAGGGAATAAACTTTTCTTAGGCCAATATATTAACTAAATATGTTTAAAATCAATATTATTGTATAATGTAAATTTTATTATAACTTACCATTAGAGCGCTCCCACACTTTTACAGTGGAATCTATTGAACCAGTGTACACAACCAGATCCTCTCCATTTGTGTAAATGCTGTGGATGCAAGTAATGCCATCTGTGTGGCCAACCAGTGAACTTGTTACCCACCAGACACCATCCACTAGGCTCCATATTGCAGCAGTTTTATCCGCTGAACAAGACACAAACTCGGTACAAGTGCCATTTTCCTTATATATCCATTTCACTGAGTTCACTTTAGATTTGTGGTAACTGAAAACTTTTAATGGATTTTTTCCTTTATGTTCCTGTAAATGTAAAGGAAAATTTTAATTTCGGTTAATTTGTTGTAATATTTTGGTCTTGCTTTTATTTAATAACATACTACTATAATCAAATCAAATCAAAAGCATGTTATTAAAAAATTATAACATGGAAAATTATATACAGGATAAGCTCAACCAGAAGTTTTGTATTATTTAGGAGGCAACTATTACAGCAATAAAATAATTGCAATAATAACATACCGTATCGTAAACAACTACAGCGTTTGTAGCTCCGAAACAAACAATACCGCCATTATTCCAGTCGGCTATTTCTGGAATACGATTACATGCAACCGATGTGTAAATCTGTTCGATGTTAACTTTCATATCGGACGATTTTAATAAAAACAATGCTGATTGGAAGTTCTATTTTTGCTTTGTAAAAACTTTAAGGTTATATTGACATGTTTCGTGACAGATGCTTTGACATTTGACAGTGACATTATTATAACGTTTTTTTCCGTTTTTCCGAAGGAAGAAATAGAATCCTTCATTAAATAGTCACCCATAAAGAAGTCTTTTTAAGCACACGGCATATCAACCATTTAGCGAACATATATTTCTTGATTCACCATTTTTTTAAACCCGGCACCGTCTATACCGAGGCGTCCAAAAATTACATGAGGTTTTTTTTTAATTTTCTGCCCCTCCCCCGCCTCTGGTGAGATATCATGAGATTTTATTCAACCCCCTCCCCCTCGCAAATACCTCACGTAATTTATGGTCGCCCCCTAAGGAACTTATTTATAATTATTTTAAAAATATAGCGAGAATAACGTAAAAACTGATAGAATGGGTGGACTCTTGACACTCGCGCCACCTATTTAGTCTTTTTTCTATAGCTTTCTCTTTCTTTCCATTTTATCGTGTAAACGCAAAATCAAGTTCAATTATGCTAAATGCGCTTTAATCATCAGACACAGCAAAACAACTTTTATATATGTAAAAATAAAAGAATCAAACCTTTTTAAAACTATGTATTTAAAATGTATAACTAATCATAAACTGGATGAATATAACATAACGCTTACAATAAACAATATTTTATATTGTATAACATTTGTATTTGTACAAAATACTGTGGAAGCACCAAGTTGAAATCAGATAATTCCTGCCAATATTCAGCCACAGAAACAGCGTCAAATCATTATAATATTACATACGCTACAATTATGTATCTACAAAAATCCTAAAATTATACCAATTTTAAAGGCACAACGATAAAAGTATGAAAACTCAAAACTACACTATCAATTTATACACCCTGTCATAATATGTATGTGTCGATTTTAACATTTTTAAAAGCTATCAATTATTATAAAAATCCTAAACAACTCGACAAAATGTCTACATCTAAAAAATAGATCAAAGTTATTTTTTTAAAGAAATACCAATTTTATTTGCGTATACAATTGATACATTTAAAATTACAACATAATGTTTAGTTACAGCTATATATTTCATAAAAAATATAATGAAGTCGAAAGATTAATAAGCTTTGAGTATTTTAGTGTTGCCATACCATACAATTGCTGCTTACAGCACCGTATCAAGCTAATTTGAAAATAGCTGTACAACATATAAACTTATTCTTGGATAAACTCTTATATTTAGTTAAAGGTAGCAAATTACAAATTAGGTAATTTTTTATGTAAAATGTATATCCTCTATAATTATTTAACCTAGTTTTTTTTTTAATTTTTCGTTTATTTTCGGCTGTAAAGAGTTCTTACATCCAAGATTGAATATAATTTTTTTAAAGATGTCTTCAAAAATTTATGAAGTCTAGCATTTTTTAAACTTCACAACTTCATAACTTTTGAAATAAAATATTAAAAATGAATACTAATTAAAATTGCAGTCAATTCTAAACTTTCTACTTACTGTGTATATTTTCATTGGTCAAATAAAAAATTGTTCAAAAAGTACTAACACTACTTATATCTGTTCCCTTATAAGAATGTATAAAACTTCAGCAAAATGCAAATGCATTGTCTCGGATTTTTCCACGAGGTCAGAATAAAATTCATTGCAACACTACGTGTTTGAATGAACAAAATCAACATAGAAAAGTTTAAAAACAAAGTAACATTCAATTAACAATATTGTTAATGAAAAAGGCAAAAATGTATGAATCTACGAATATCACTAATCAAACGTGACTTTGGGCTGAGTACTGCACTATGTAATATTCTACCCTTGCGTAAAAAAAATATTAAAAAGGTTTTTTCTCTTTTGTTGTAGTTTGAATTTTTAGCTGTTCATAACGGCTAAAGATTTTTTCGGTTTCTTCTTCAAACTGTTTATGAAGCTCTTTATTTTGTTTGGTTTCTTCTGTTTTCCTTCGCTCAACTGGCTGACATTGCCCAAGGATTTGTTATCATCAAGTGTGATCTTGTCACAGCTGTCCAGACCCGACATGGATATACTTTTTATAGACGGAATACTCGGTAACTGTAGAAAGGCCGTTTTATTTGCAGTAAAGCCATTCGCAATGTTTCGTGATTCAAATGTATTATTGTTTGTTGTCACCTCTCTGATAGCGACTGCGTGGTTTGATCCGGTACTGTTTAATCTAAAATAAAATAAAAAATTGTTTAATTTTGTTTTCCCTTCTAATACATTTAGGATTTTACATTCAGCAAAAAGGCAATATAATAACCTATTTGCAATAGAGCTGTTAACAGAGATTGAACAAACTTTTTAAGACGTCATATTTTTTTTATTTTAAGCCACCGCTTGAATATGATCCCACCTGATGTTAGGTGATGAAGTGGTTGAAAGACGGTATGCGTAAGTTCATTACATACCTATTCAATACAGCGTATGTTCATGCAGATTAAAAGCTACTTTGATATAGAAAGTGTATATATACCTTGGTATATTAGTGATCTTAAGGGTGTCGCTGAGGCGTTGCCAAAAATCGTATGGCGGTTTGAGGTGCTGGGAGGGGTAGTACAGCTTGTGGTAGTAGGTGAGCTGCATGGGCAGCTGGCATGGCCGATACACCAGGGGGATTATCTTCAGCTGCTTCCGCTCTACAACATTCAAAATGTACATGCAACTGGAGATGGCATCTCCATCAAGTGTACGGTTGTCGCCAAATAGGTATTATAACAAATTGTTGGTAAACAGTATTTGTATATTTTAACAATATATAGTGCGAAAATTATAATAACGAGAACTCGAAAGGGGCTCGAAGCTACCCCACGTTAAGGGTGACGGCTTTGCAACCTGCACTGGGCCAGTATGGATGACTTGACATGAATTTTTGAACGTCACGTCACGATCTTTTCCTTCACAATCTGAAGGTCAAATAAATGAACTTGTAATCTATATAAGTAATCTGTATTTACAACTAACAAACATTCTTACCAATAGCAACGGCTTGTGCATAGTTTGTGTAGTAGCTGTTTGCGTTACACTTGAGGAAGTCTGGGGAGTAGACGAGAATGATTCGCTGGCAGCGCTCCGATATGAGCCGAGATACCGGCGCGTACTGCGTCGAGTGCCCCGGCAACAGATCCTCTTCTGTGCATAGCTATTAACATTACAAGTTTTAATTGCAATTTAAGATTTATTTTATTGTATACTTTTATTAATTGTAAGTTTTTAATGACTAACATAACCTATCAAATCAAGTTCATATTTTGGAACTTGAATCCTTAGAAGTGCAATGTCATAGATGTTCACAGGAATACAAACATGGAAATGACGATGAGATTTCAAGGGGAGATAGAAAATAAACATAAGTTCTCCATTCTGTAAACAGGGAAAAAAAATTGTGAAATTAAAAAGCGTTAATTTACCCGGAATCCTTGTGCTCTCATTCGAGCCAGTAGATGATCTACGAAATCCTTATCCTCTTGTGCATACACAACATATGCATGGTAGTATTGTGGCTCTCCGTACATTCTGTCTTCATATGTAATAAGACTGTCATCATCTGGCACCTCCATTGATAGCCTCAGAGGATTGTCATTTGGTCTTCCTGTGGACAAACCATGCACAATGTCAATGATCCTTGTGTAGACAATAAAACAGAACATAAATATAAAACTCTTAATTTTCTACACGTAGCAAAAAACATTATTTAGACCTTCAAAAATTATATTACTCCTTATACTTTTAAAGGAACAATTAAAACAAAAGAGAATTGATTTGAGTAGTTCTTCAAAGCAATATACTTATTATTTTCAGATGTTATCCATCTTAAGTTAATTAGTGATTTTTTATTATAAATAATATTATTTATGTTACCTATAAGTCTTCCATGTCTGAGTAATTCTATACAATCATCAAACACATCATATCTGTCGAGGCGTTGCAAGTACTCAAGGAGGAAACCAACATAGGCCGTTTTTGGATTATCACTCATCCATATTTCTAAAACTTTGGCAGTTCTGTCCGACTGCAATTCAACATTTGCGGCAACTTCTGCTGATATGTTGGCCAATGATGCCAGACCCCGCCAATACCTATAATATTAAAAGGATTTCTTAGATTTTAGAAATAAATTATGAATTAACTATGCATTCTTCAAACATCATGCCATCTCATGTTTATTCTGACAACACAACAAATGAGTGCTTAAAGTTTGTCTTATAATCAGATTAAGCAGCAATTTACTTAAAAATATTTCCAAAATTTAAAGAAAAAATGTGCTAGGTGTTGCACAACTCCTTTCCCCAATCTCCACAACTTCTTTTATAACAGACAATATGAATGTATTATATTGATTATAAAAACTTAGTATATAAACAACATAAGGAAAGTGTCTGATAAAATGTGACACTTTGTGTAAAGCTATCCACCGTGAATTTTAATCAACTCATTGTCATGGGTACTATCAGAAATAAATGTTTACATATTTTTTCTATATAAATTAACTATCTTGATATAGAAGAATCTTATAAACAAATTAACAATAATATTAAAAGATTTTTTTTTACATGACTAACATAAGCAGGACATCTAAGGCTCAGTTTGCATATGGACTTAATAATTATTGTTGCTGGTGTGATTGAACAAATATACAAAGGGTTTTAGAAATTTCACAGAGGGCATACATCTATTACCCCTAGGGGTTGTATGACAGGGATAATGGACTAACCCTGAACAGCACACATTCTGCTGTGTAAAACAAAAACAATTTTCGAAGCGTCACAAATATTTGAAAATTATGGGTTGATTACAAATGTAACGCACGTAATGAAAATAATAAAACTTCAATGTTATCCAAAGAAAGAATCAATTAGTACGACAATGATAGCAATCTATTTTAAAAATACCTTGGTAATTTCTCTGGTCCGTCACTAGGCAGTACTTTTGTTGAGTTTAATAAGTTTGATAACAGATTTCGAGATTCGTTTGTAAGCCAAGAAAGAGGAATATCATATAGATTTGTGTCTTGATCCATTTTGAAAACGTTTTGCGGCTAGTTCAATAATATTTTTGTTATATTTACGATTCGTTTCATTTTAATTCTTAGAATCACCATAAACGTATGACGTTTATATTATAGTGCTGTCAAACTGTGAAATGATGTCAAAAGTCGTACACTTTTCTTACTCTATGGTTGCAGATAATAAAACGCTGAAGTTGGCTAAATGGCTAAAGGACATCATATTGGCTGTCCCGACGATCGATGATTTCGGTAAACTGTACAACTTTTCATACTGCATAATAGTTTTATTTGGAAACGAACCATAGCTAAAGGCACCCTATGAAGTTATCAAAATTAAAACTGTTATGTTCTTATGTATAAGAATATTGTTTTTGTTTTTAATTAAGATAATCTCGGAAACAATATAATATACATGAATATCTCTACGCAGATTAAACTTATGGAATAAAAGATATAGAAATAATTTTCCAACCATATACTAAAGTTTATTACAAACAAATCTTATTCCACTCGTTTACACCTCACAAACAGTGGACCAAAATTTAACATTTCACTAAACAAAGACCATACCTACGAATTATAATTAAAGTATCATTTTCGTTCGAAGAAGGTTCCGCGGTTCCTCCATAGGTTTATCTTTGCCCAATAACGTCTGTAAAAGAGGATTTTGTGGGGAAAACGGATTGCGCTTATAGAAAAATCTCTTTATCAAAGTGTTTCTGATAGTCATGTCAGTTTTTCTTAATTCATCTCGTGTATGTTTTACAGATATTCCCACGTTTGCGTTTCTCGGCTGCAGGGGCTTTTGATTTAAATTTTTCCAATTCACGAAGCCGGGCCTCTTAGTAATTCCGCTTACATTCTTATGCGCCTCCTCTATCGGATCGTGATCGGCTATGTGCTTTGGCACGGCTAATCTGCTTTTTAAGATTTTCATAAAGGATTTTTTTTCACTTTGTGTACCGATACTTTTAACTTCTATTTCTTTTAGACATAGTGGCACTTGAGGAGGTACTTGTGAAGGTACTTGATTATAGCGATGTTCCATTGAAGTAGAATACGAAGATGTCATGGGATAGGAGCCATGGCGCAACCCCTGTTCATGAACTGCTGACGCATAAGGTGAGGCTAAATACGTGAGTCTAGACTCCATACCGACAGGCGCTCGGTAGGAATGCTCCGGCGATGTATGATAATGGTAGTTAGGAGGAATAGGGGGCGGATGATAATACTCCTCTTTGTGCATCATATAGTTTGTCACGTGCTGTCTATAAGGTGACTTCGGTTTCACGTCCACTTCCACTGTGCTTTCACTCTCACTTAATTCTTGTATAACTTCCTTTTTTCTCTTTTTCAGTAAATTCCCAAAAGATTGTAAGACTTTTGCCAACTTTTTTTTCCTAGGCTGTAATTAACAATTAATTATAAATTTTAGTAATCTGAAATATATTTATTTATAAATTATTTCATTATGATATTGATAAATATTTACCTTGACTTCAAGATTTAGAATGCTGCTGAAATCGAAATCGGAGTCCGGTTGAGTGGCGGCCGCCTCGAGGCTAAGCTTTTCCAGGATAGTGTCGGAGTAACTGGCGTTACTGTACACACTGTCCTCGGTTTCCTTTGACCCGAAAGCCTCGCAACTTTTGGAATAGCATTTCATCTGAGATGTGCCGACTTTAGCGTCGTGAGCGGAAGGATTAGAACTATTACCCGCACTTCTGGAGGTTAATAATTTACTTAAGTGCGGAGTCTTTTCCGCAACGTTTGTGTTGTCAATGCTTACGTCACGATATTCTGCATTAGTTTTTGGCTGGGGAGTTTGTTTCACATAATTATATATTTCCTTAATAAGCTGCTGAGTCTCATCATGCGGACCCTTGTCTTGTGTTTCACGCGTGTCGGCACTGAACGTGGCGTCCTTGCTGAGCGCTGACGATTCCTTAAGATGGTTGGTGCACACCGAGCACGTGTGACTTTGAGCAGGTATCACGAAACCATTTTGCACGCAGCCGATGGGGCAAATCGGTACTATTGGATAGCAACAAGGATTTGGAAATGTAGGTATGTAAGGTTTTGGTGGATTTGTAGTATTATGAGACATTTCTGAAGTGTTTGGTAACACAGAAACGTTCGTTTTTTCTTCCTCGTGTTTAGCTTTTGTTGAATATTTCTCAGATGTTTCCGATTTATCACTATGCATCGTCTCTTTTTTCATTTCCTCGAGAAAATTTTGTAGAATATCTTTTATTTCGTAAAGAGCCTTATCCGTATTATCTACAGCGACCCCGGTTTCTTGTGTTTTGTTGATCAATAAATTGTGAACGGATACGTTGGGCCGATTTTGATCCACTGATTGACACGGCACAGAAGTGTTCAATTCATCATCGGATTCAAAACTTCGCGTCTCTGGCTTCGTAGAAGCTTGCGACAAATCTTTGTCTTTTCTCAAATGAATAAAATTGGTTAAATCGTCATTCTGTATGTTTTTATCGACCGTTTGTACTTTGGCTTTGTGTACGGAGGTTCTGGTGTGAGGGCGCGCGGCGCGGGGGCCATAGTCGTCGCAACGGTCGTGGCGTTGCGCGGTGAGGTTGAGGCGAGGCCGCTGGGAGGTCGGAGACGGCGGCACCTCCTTGTAGTGCTCGTATGGAATCATATTGTATTCGGCGAACTTTTTCCTCGATTTAGGACTAGATTTCTCCTTCACCGGTATCATATCATACAGAGAATCGTTGTAATACTCTTGATGTTTCCTGCTCTGTCTGTTGCGCGGATAACGTTTAGAGCTGTACAGCCTGGTATCGCAGATGCTTCTGACGTCGCTGTAACTCGGGGCGCTCCTCATTCCGTTCCGAAAGCCGGGCTTGTCATAGCAGCAAGAGCACAGTTCACTGCCCTCCTGGATGTCGTCATCGACGGAAAATTCCTGGTCGCGGCATAGCGGCGCCGACAGCTGGCTCCAACCCGACTCCCTCTTGCTGAACATGTTGACGGGCTTGTACTGCCGTCTTATTATATCTTCTATAAAATCCTTATCGATTTCTTTTTTTGGTTGCTTATATTTTTTCCTTTTCATTCTTTCCTCATATTTTCTAACAAGATACTCGATATTATTTTTACGATCATCTTCCTTGTATTTGTGTGAATCTTTAAGTATAATTGGATTCGTATAATTCAGTTTAGCGCGCCGTTTTTCGTGACACCTCGCATCATCGGCTTTCACGAGGTCGACGGATGAACGGTGGCTGGTAGACGAGTAACTCAACGGCTTTTTCCGGTTAACTAAATTGGAATCGATTTTGTTTATCGCATCTAATTTGATATCATGTCTTTTTGCTACATGTTTACTTTTTGTAGCTATTCCTTCGGCCTTTGACGCTATTTTGTTTATCTCTTTTTGTAACTTGACATCTAAGTTGAACGTATCAGATACCTTACTTGTAACGTCACTTTCTATAAAATTTTTATACTGATTTTCCGAAGTCTTGTACAATACTTTTGTTTCATTGTGGTTGATTTTGAATTTTTCTAGACTTGTTTTAATTTGTTCATTTTGATTGGTACACAATAGATGTCGACACTGAGCACCGTCGTCTATCGCGTAAGGGGATGGGGGCGCGGCGGGAGGCAGGTGGCTGCTACGCCCTTTCACCTGTGCCACTTGCTGCTCAACTGAAATCTTCGGTTTTAAATTAGACGCGTTTATTGTTACATTCGAGTTAGTTTTTGTTTCTTGCGATGCGGTGCCTGAAACATTTAAATAGTAACGCATAAATAGCTATAGCTTTCACAACACAAATGCGATAATATCAAAAACTAATTCGAATCCTTTTTGCATGTACTAGCCCAACAATTCTGTAGAGTTAGTTTTATATCGCATAAAGATTTTATAAAGCCGGTGAAAACCTTGGGAAAAAGTGTGTAGTGAACCAACCGAGAGCTCGCCTTAGGAAGTCCTTGATGGCGCGGTAGCGGCGCCTCGTGCGGGGCGAGATGCGGCGCCGCGGCGTACGGAGAGTCATCACCGCATATAAGCAGTCTGCTCTGCGACTGAAAAACGATCCGCCTTATGTTAAGCGGGGCTGTAGTAGGGAAATAGACTTATGGTACTTACACTAGTAAAATTTCGTCTATCTCTTATCTCTTAACATAATTTCGTATAAAAACGACCTATAAAATTATTTAGTATGTTTCATATGTATGTAGGTAAGGCAACCCTGTGTATGGACTTGGATATACTCAACATAACATTACCTTTGTATTTACACGACGATTCCGAGTGATCGAGGGTAGACTGAATACAACAATTTCAACATTTTTTTTGGGTAAAATTATAATTCTTGACCAAATTCTTTCACTTATGATTACTTTATAAAAAATGTTTGAATTTTAAATTGATTAAAAAAATTTCTTTAGTCATGTTGACGTTAAAGTTGTTTTCCTTTTTTTTATTAGAATCCAAATTTATTTTTGGACAGTGCATAAAAAATCTTGAATTAATTTTTAATTACAATCCCATGTACGATTCGTTGTAACTGTAAAAAGCTTGTCTAGGTAATTAAATAAAATAAGGCAAATATAGAAATTACACATGTGAATATTTATTTATGTCTTATTCTTTTAAATTAACATTTGTATAGTTTTGACATATAAAAATTTGAATCGTTGTCAAATGAGCCTTGATTTTAGATACTTTCTCCATAAATATATTAGAAATTTACAATAATGTTTTCAAAACTCCTAAAGCCCGCTATTCAAGCCCGTAGTGGTTATTCTCTTCTGCAGCGAAAGAATTCCCCACTAATTACCGTAGTGCGACGCTCCGGCGAGCTGATTCCCCCCACGCAGTATGACGTGCCCATACCTAGGAAGTTGCACCTGTCCTACGCCCTCACCAGGTACTGGGAAATAATCCCTCTGTTCCTGGTCACCATGACGTCATTGACTCTGATGTGCGCCTCTATCGCATGGGCATGTAGAAATAAAGTGAGTACATATTTTAGCGCATTCCAATTCAGTAATATCAAGATACGAAACTATAGTTATCGGCAGGAGGCAAAAGATTAAGTCAAAAGACTTGACTATCATCCCTTCATACCGGAGCTCAAGTAGGACTGCAGAAATGGTAAAGTGCATACCGCATCGGATTTTTAAAAGCTTTTAAGCAGTTTAGAAGTGTGCTAGCCAATACTACGAACTTCCAAATTGTATACTCAAATTGACGTTTATTGTACTCAGGTGGACGTAGTTTTCTCTAGTCGGAGCCGAGACAACATATCGCGAACTATGAACCTGCGGAAGCCATCGATCCATAAGTTGCTGGTGATCAACGACCGTTATGAACCTTGGCCAGAGATGCAGGCCGCGCTCGACAAAATGGTGGAAGCGGAGAAGCGCGCCCTCTCGCGGCTGCAATCCTGCAAACACGCTTAAACTGGCACCTTATCTGATATGTCTATGGTTTTTTTTTGTTTTTATACAACAATTTTGATACAACCAATGTATTAATTTACTTTGTGGTTTACTTAATTTTGATATAGAAATTATATTGAATGGAAATTATTATATTTTGCCGTAAAGCAGCTAAGTTTTTCATTAAGACATAAAGCTAACCAGAACAATATGGGTACCGAGACCGCGATTGTATGAGATATAGGTAGATAGAAATAGAAAAGTGTGAAAATTAATCGCTAACCTATCATTATAGTTTTATAGAAAAATAATTTACTAAAGAACCCCAATAAATATAACGGTACCTATGTGAGGTGGGATCTGCACTCATGCAATATCGGAGGCCGGGGCCGGAATTTGCAATCCCCCCCCCCCTCCATAGCCGGGCGGGGTGGCCGGGAATGTTTATTCACCCCCTCGCAACCTATTCGGTACTCGCGATCACCCTCTGTGATTGCACCCTATACTCCTTAATGGATTTTTTCCTAAAAGATTTTCCCCTTTGAGACCGTTTTTGTCCTAAGCGACGGTGGATCTCGTTGCTACAGTTTGCAAAGCGCGATAACTTTTTGTTGGTTTCTCTTTAAAACAGTTGAGTAAGTTCGTGCCGTGGAATTTATGCGCTTAATCGTTTCTAAGCTGCTATCGTAGTTAGGGTCAGCTAAAGTTCACCGATTCTATTTTAATGTTAATCTTCTTATTTTAAATATAGAATCAAGAAATTCTTCATACAATAATGATTGAAAATTGGATTTCGGAAAAAGTACTCAATTTTAAGGACTTTTCTAAACGTTCCCAGCTTGAAGTGTGCAATCGTTTGGCGTCAAATGTCCAGTCGGCACGTTCCGATGTAAAACTAACAAATTCTCTAAGTCTCCAACTACTCGACGGGTTTTCAAATACGAATGCAATTTTAAGTTTCATTTGATAAAACCTACGTAAAAACTTATTATTTTAAACTTGGACATACTGATTTACGACGACTGAATTTAAAAAGTTAATTTAATACCATAAACTATAACCATTGGGTTAGGGACAATGAGAAGTGGGTACTCTTAATCTATGGTCATGGTTCACGGCAGTGAGGGTAATAAAACAAAAATTTGTTGAGACACATTTTATTGTCATCCACAGGTGCGTTCTAACTCTCTACAACTACATATACACATGGAAGTGTTTGTATTTGCTATACATTTATTTATCCTAGTTCCTAGCTTCAAACTAAAACGATAACATGTTATATGGAGGCTGGCAACACAGTGAATCAAAAACAGTCATGTAATAGATACAAAAAATTGTAAAATAACTGTTACTAACACGAATGAAACATTAAACTAAGTTAATCGGTCAAAGTAACATGCGTATGCGTACAGTGCCTTTTCAAGTGTTCTCAAAAATAATATTTATTTTCCAAAATATACAAAATAGTGAAACTTCTTTAATAAAATACAAAATATATTTACCGCACTTAAAATTGTTTTACAGTAAGTATTATTTTAAATAAATTATTATCTTACTGCAAATATTAATATTCCTAATAAAAAGAAGTAAACTATTAGCCGAAAATATTTTTTAGAAAAGAAAAACTACCAAAAAAAAAAGTCTTAAATGAAGTTGGCACTATTGGATATTTTCTCAAAATGTCTAATTCGCGTCAAAAAAAGTTATAAAAACACCTAAGTCTTCGGCAAGCAATAGTAGTTAGAAAATGAACACCACCACCCGAACTATACTTAAAAACATTTTTTTTCGAAATAAAAAAACATTATCGAAAAAGTTGGTAAAGGATGAAATTCTTTCAGTTTTCAATTACATTAGGAAATTAAAATTATAAAATGTCATATAATCGTATTTAGTACAAAATAAGAAGTAGCACAATTTATTTTTAACATGAACAAACATTACTTTAAGTACATTGTACTGACTAAACGACAAATTCATAATAAATAACGCTTAAGTAATTACAGGTACAGATTATGTGTTATATGAAATAAAAACATTAAACTGTTATCTATACAATTACATCATATCAAGTATATTTCTAATGTTAATAAATTATAATCAATATTTTAAAATAATTAGTTAACCTACACATTTATTTCCATAGATATATAAACTATAGATGGAGTGTTTCATATAAATCTGATGTTTAATCAAGAGTCGATTTTCAAAGTAATTTTATATTGTAATTTTTTTATAACAGACGCATCGGGAACACCGAGGGGTACAACGACGCTCATGGCCATCAGCAATACCAGAGTAACCGCAGATGCGTTGCCGGCCTTTGAGATGGTATTTTATATCGTAAATGACAACACTGAGGGAATTGTCCCCAACAATGGACCTCGGAAGACATTTTTGTTGTCAGAATTAGGTATCTATAGGTTATATAACTATGTGCACGGGTCTATTTTCATAGAACACCACACATCCAACAATACTTTCAGTAACGTTACAGTGGATTTCCACACCCGAAACACTTGCAAAAACACGCAGTCATCTCTCTCTTTCTGTTTGAAAAAAACAGAGATAACTATATGTTTTTGTATAGGAATCAGAAGTGAAAATCCACTTTTAGGAAATGGTGAAAGTAAAACATTACAATAACTACCATAAAGTACCACTACTAAGCTCTTTTTGGAATGTTCTACGAATTGGTCATACACGAACCCTTTACAATTTATAAGAACTAATGCATAAATCATAATTAATCAGAGAAACCAAACAGTAATTACGAGTAAAAAAACACCTGTCATAGAATAACGCGCCATTTTTGACAGTTAACTTAAAAACACATAATAACTTAAAAAATTGGATCTTGTGTACATCTGAATATTACATATTTTTTTTTAAATATTATACATTCATTAATACAAAGTACAATGTTTTCAAAAATTTAAATAATAATGTTTGAATCAAACCGCCATATATTGACATTTACATGAAAAACAAATATAAATCCTATTAAATATTTACAGTACAAGATTTCTACAGATTATAAACAATTATTGTTTTTATTCGTCAATTGACATAGATTAAATACATGTTTCATAGAAGGCTAAGAGTGATTTATTGTACGGCGACTAGAAAAATGTGAAGGCACGACTTATGATTAAAAAAATCTTATCGTATCCCACTATTGGGCATCTAAAGTTCTACTATGACAATGCATCTCAGATGCATACACAACATCAAATTCAATATGTATAACATACATATACTGGCTTGATAGAAAAAGAAAAAACTTTTTAGAAAAAAAAAATCATATGACGAATGAGGAAGTTATGAGGTAACGAGATCTAACCTGCAAATATTCATTTATAAAATCTGCTCGCGTCATTTTCCAAAGCAACAACCTTTTATAGTCGCTTCATTAAAACAATTATTTTTTATATGTACAGTCGAAACTGGATATGCAAGAGTTTGTTTGTTTTATTGTCCGGTCCCGACAGAGTTCTCCATAAGCAAGAAACTTCGATTGGAGAGAAACTGAAAAAATATCACGGCTCCTTGGACTCTCGCTTATCCAGGTTATTATGTATTATTTATTCCAGCAGATAAATATTTTTATTAAAAGTCGTCATTAAATTCATGTAAATGTAAAGATATAAATTGGAACATTGTTTATGTGATTATTCAACGAATGTCGCTACTATGAAAAATACCACTTTACATGAAAAATTTGTGCTTCAAGTCACAACCAAGTGGTTGTTAAGATCGATTTGTTAAACCTATAAACACTTAGGTATACCAATATTTTTTTCTTATTATTTCACGTTTCATTATACAGTTGACAAATAAATAAACGTAATGAAATTAAATATTAAATAAAGCCGTCACTGCAGACGAGATAGATTGCAATTTTTTTGTTATCTTATTTATGTTCAAGAATGCATAAAAAATAATAAATAAATTGGGCAAGACATATTTTCCTACGAAAAAGAATATACAAATCAAAACAACAAAACTATCAATTAATTGCCATATACAAATTAAAAATACTACCAAAACTACTATTTACATTGATATGATAGTAACACTCATACGTATTACTGCAGCACTCAGAGTACATTAATGATCGCTAAAGGAGGCCCTTACCTTAGTGTATATCATACGAAGTCTACATCCAATAGCCTTATGGCTACCTGTACGGTTTCCGATTACTTGGGCAGGGGTTCGAACCCAGACATTGTCATAAACCATATTATAGCACAAGTCTAGAGCTTAGTTGGAATGTTACACAAAATTATCTGTAAATTAACAAAAATCTAATAGTACATTAAAAAAAAACTAAGGGTGTCCCTTATCATTAACAATTCTGAGTACGGCAGGAATTGTTAAAACTTAACGAAATATTTATAGTAACTCGAAATCCGATACGTACATTGTGAATTATTTTTTAATAATATTCAACGTATATTTGAGATATGCCCCAAACGCGTATGTGATCTTTGTTATTGAGTAAAAAAGTACTCCAAAATATGTAATACTTTGGTAACTTTACAATAAACAGTTGTTATGATATGATGCTTCTTAAAACTATACCATTTTTGTTTTCTACATTAAATATGTGCATGTGTTATATAAATACTATTTTATTTACTTGCAAAATAATTTTATAGTGGAGTTTATCGTATTATTGACCTATGTTATATTTTGCGTAGATAAAAACAGTTCATGAAAAAGTTAGAGGTTAGGAATTACCAGATATCAGTGTTGCCACACATAAATAATTATAAATTCGATTGCAAAAAAATCTTAAAGACGATTTTAGTATTTTTTTATCAATTCCATTTTCACTAATTGTACCAAAATCTAAACATTAGTTTTTAATTCGGCTGAGTATTTTAGTCGTTCAAGCCCCTACGTGAGTTCTTGTAAAAACAAGTTTGTATAAAACTGCGATGTTTATACTTTCACAAAGGAATGCTTATTCTTAATTATAAAACATACTCTTTAAAATGTACTACCAGTTTGATCATTATATTAAAAAAATATATCACTGGAGACGTTATATCATTGCAGCACTCAGTGCGTTATTTTTTTAAATAAATCATACCATGAGGTAAAGGCAAGCCAAACAGTCATAGCACGTAACATATTCCACAAAAATACCAGCATTGAGCAATGCTTGAAGGCAAGACTTGTGACTCGATTGATTCGTTTCTTTCATTCCTGTGAGATAATGGACACTTACTCAAGTTTGTGTTTATTTCAGTTCAATTGTGGGCTGCACGTTTTCCTTGCATGTAACCTTCCCATCTCTTGGCCGTGTCTATGAGTACGGGGTCAGGGTCGAGGCCGGCGAGGAGGTAGAGCTGGTTGACGTGGGTGGCGTGGTAGTCCCAGCGGGCGAGGTTGGGGCTGACGCCGAGGGTGAAGTGGCGCAGGTCGTAGAAGCTGCCGCTGCCGGTGTCGAAGAGCGGCAGTAGGGTCTTGAGGGAGGTCATGCCGTCGTCGAACATCTTCTTGGCTAAGGATATCGAGTTCTCACCTTCGATGACGTGCAGGTCGTAGAGGCCCAGCAGCGTGTAGATGAAGCCGTTCAGCACGAACAGCGGCGGAGTGGTCGGGTACTCCTCGTACCTGTGTCATACATTTATTTTGAACTAGCTGTCGCCCGTGACTTCGTCCGTTTCGAATTAAAAAATACTTAATTAGTAGCCTATATGTTTCTATGGACTATTATATTTGTCTATGCCAAATTTCATTGAGATCCGTTGAAGTGTTCTTCAGACGCATTCAAAGAAATATCCATCCATCCATCCATCCATTCATCCAAACATTACTAATATTAGTAAGATAGTACGATTTAGATTATTTCTTAATTACCATGTAGCGAAGCGTACAATTTCTAATACGAGAACTGGCACTTAAATAGAATTAGATGTTTTATAATGTACTGCTGGTAATATAATGTTGGTGTGCGATGTGCGATGTGCTCACCAGACGTATTTGTCCATCCAAATAGCCTTGACGCCGCCGTGTGCGCTGGGCACGTCCAGCGGCAGCAGCGCGCGCTGAGCGGCCAACAGGTAGCGCGCCCGCCCGCTGCGGTGGTACGCGCGCGACAGCACGGAGATCGCGTGCCCCTGACTCATCGCCGACAGCCTGCACCGCATTACACACCGCACAATTACATGTTTATGTCATCAAACTGCTACTATATTACTTTGGAAGTCCCTCGATCACCAATTAACACACAATCTTTGTAAATAAAGATTCACCTGCGACTTAGTCAGCGCAGAATTGAAAAAATAGCCTATAAATTTCCCGCGTGCATCAGCGACGCCAAACAGTCTCCACGATATCGTTCCAGCCGTACAAGTTTTAAGTAATCTCTCAAAATAAACGCGGCTTCGCGGTTAGAAATATAGGCAGAAATGACAAAAAATTGGATTCTCGATATCAGCTACGCAAATACATTTTGTGTACGAAATATGATTATTTTTTTCAATATTACCTATAAAAACTGCAATTTAATTACTATGTATGGATAAATTATAATAGTATATGCAGTAAGTATATAAAAATGAACGACCATCCGGGCTTGAGGTCGGGCACGCTGGGGGCGACGTGCCGGCGCGCGAGCACGGGCCAGCCGCCGCGCGCGCGCTGCCCGCTCGCCAGCCAGTCCGCCGCCGCGTAGAACTGCGCCATGTGCTCGCTGCTCGACACCCGCACCCCGCACACCGCGCCCCGCCCCCGCAACATCACGCTGCATATCTGACGCCACCACACTACTTACTCATTACAACACATTAAACACAATCCCGACAAATTATCTCTATAAATGGATCAGTGTTTTGTTCCGACTTCAACGCATTTATTCAAATTCTCGAAATTATTTCTATGCTTATTATTAGTTCGAATCCTCACCGCTGCTACCGACCGCAACTGTCAGCGCCAAAATGGCGGACATCAAATAGGCACAAAATACCACAGTTTATAGCCATGTCCATGTATAGATCTTCCCATTTTATAGGTCTTTAAACAATATGTCGAAATATTTACAATATGCAATTTCTGAAAAAAATAATATTTAATAAAAGTTGGCTTATGTACTTACCCTAAACTTATTCCTGGGCGACTTCCTCTTGGGTCGATCTAACAAGGCCCAGCCTTTCTGCATATCGATAATAAGGTCGCGTGTTATTCGCCGCCATTTTACTTCCGTGCCTATGCCGTGGTAGATGTGGTCCTCCTGACAAACATATCAAATGAAAATCAGATTTTGAAACATAAATATCTTCCAGATCAACATTAACTGAAAGTTAAGAAACACTCACCTGAGCATATATTAATTGATTACTAGTAACATAATGCAGATATACAGTTTCCTTCTTATCTTTATTCTGCAACACCACCGTTATAGATGAATTCGGTTTGAACCATACATCCAAACTGAGCACAAAATCCTGACTAATGTTCACTTTCAACCACACCTGACTGGACACATGGTCAGAGGTTGAGAACTTTAGCACTTTAGTCTTCATCTCCTCATCATATACCCTCGAAATTGTCGCATCTTTACTAACGATCCAGTTTTCCAAGACTTTCTCCCCATCATCTATGATCCTGACCCTAGGCTCGGGTTCGGTGACATTTTTACTGTAATGTGCTAAACCAAACTGGGCTATTTGAGTGGGATAGTAAAACCCTCGTGGTTCCCACTGGGTCGACACCGGGACACCTTCTATACCACTAATACATTTGACTCGCTCTCGTACTTCGACGTTATAATTCTCAAACGTGGCGAATGTTCCCCGTGGGTCGTACTTTTTTTTCGGATGATAGACTTTACTATAGCTGTGAGACCATTCAAATTTGTCCACACCATCCGTCGATGTTATCTTGCCATAAACCTAATTTAAAAAATTAAAATTAATTGAATGCTAAAGAAGTGACAGATATCTAATTAAATACTTGACTGAGACTCAATGTAAGTGTGACTGACCTCAAAGTACTTGTGTATAAAGGAGAAGGGCAGGTAGACCTGGTCCCTGTCGCGGTGGCACGCTACAGAGTACTCGCCGTTGATGACACACTCAATCTCCTGCCCCCCGACCCCACCCGTGCCAGCTCCTCGTTCCAAGAGACCATTGGATAACACTGAGGCTACTACAAAATCACAATTGCTAGATATAGTATAAAGATGTTGATAACCAGTTGATATCTCACATATTGATCTTCCCTCCCCTGTGATATCACATCGTTTAATATAATACATTAAATGCCACTATGATTTTACTCTACTATCTGAATTCACAGGATGAGTTGGTAGCATTGAATGTGTTATAAGCTTATTAAAAATAAAATGGTAGCATGTATTCCCAGTTCAATTTATGAGCTGTTATTTAATTAAACATTGAAGCTTTTTACATACTTGGTCTATGCGAGAACTCTCCGCATCGGCTCCAGAATACAATAATGAGGAGTACTGCAAGGCACAGCGCCGCCAACGCTGTGCGCATGTTGATGCGCACCAGCATCATAGTGCTGTCCTGTATATCACACATTAATGTGACAAAACTCACATAGATAAAGCAGAAATACAACAGAAGTAGGTATATATAAAAATTTCAATTTTAGGTTGACCTGGTTGTTTATGCATATTGGAAGTTGGAGTTTGATTCAACAATTCATTGCAATTCATTTAACTATGTGAAATAAAAAAAATTCTAATCAATCATAACACGGGCAAGTTTTTATAAACTAATAACTGTCGCCTGTGACTCCGTCCACATAGAGTTAACAAAAAACTTAATTAGCAGCCTTTGTGATCTGCCAGACTATATTCTATGTCTATGCCAAATGTTAAACATCCATCAATCCACACATTTAAACATTCACATATATAATATTAGTAAGAAGTAAAATACTTTAATTGTTAAGAAACTAAAGAGTTTTCTTTAAAACTTTAACCTAATAGTTATTTTATTTAACAAACTTCTGCTATGTATTTGATAAAGCAATGTTTTACACAACTATAATTGTGTCTAGAGTATTTGTGTAACTTATGTATCAAGTTAAAGTACAAAACATTACAGGAAGTTCTCACAGGCAAAAAACATAAAATTAAATAACATTTAACTACATATAAATGTTAATGTACACAACATGAATTATGGATGATCCTTTACATGCATTGTGTATAACATCATGGTTTATATTTAACAAATATTGCAACATCTAACATAAAGTCTTTGGTAATGACTCCAACTCAAAACAGGAAAACTCATGTATTTGTAATAAATGATTGTTTATATAAAATAAAAGGAAAAAGGAATACATTTTAGAAAAAGCAAAGAACTGCTGAAAATTAATTGATAAAAAGTAACTTCCGATTCAATGAGTAATAGATATTTGACAAAATTCATTACATTTTCAACTTTCTATTGGAATCGTTAAAAAACGGACCGCTTCGCTTGGAAAAAGAATATTTGCGTGGGTGTAGAGGTGTACTAATATTTGAACAGTTACTGTATAGGAAAGAGCTGCAGTTACAATATTATGAATATATTATAAATAATATAGTAAATAACTGATAATTACGTACTTTTTACAGAACAACGGTGATCCATTCGTTCCGTTATTGTTTTTAATAATTCAACCCATGGTTCCACTTAAAGTCAGTTATAAACACTGTCATATCCATCATGATGACTGAAGTATTTACATTGGATAACTTTATTGAATGTAACTTTCACGAGTATTGGTTTGCAATAATTATATTTTTAATAAAATATAACTCTCGGTCATCGAACCGAAATTCTTTAATAATATTTTTGATGTTTTGATTGACATTTGACATTGACAGTACCTAACACGGGGTTGTCATATCTTACTAGCAACTTGCTGTGTTGCTTGACGAAAATAAAAAGCCATATAACGGCAAAAAGGTTTTAATTGAGAGCACAATATTTTGATCTCATCAAGTTCATCACTTGTGAACCATTAAATGTAAAATTCGACTACACCATCCTTTCTTAAAAGTGTGCGTAATCTGTTATGCATTCAGCATGCGTACTTATTGCTATTGGTTAAATAAATATATTAAAAATTAAAACTCTCATACGCGTAAATAAATTTATTATTTAATATATATTTTCGAATTAGATTAAAGTATCGAGGAGTTCGTTGAACAAGAGTGCTTTCACATGGAATAAATAATCAAAGCTCAAAGCAGAGTAAACCGTACATAGGTACATCGTACATACACTGGCACTGGACTTTGGGGGAGGGTTTTATAAATCGAGCGCTCAATTTTTCACTTTAAAACGTTTAGGTAAATACGATGAAATTTTCGTCATTATGATCGATAAAATCTAGTTACATTTGACCAGTTACCATTTACATCGACCATGTTATTGCATTTAAACGAATTTTCGCCTACCGTGTAATCCCTTGTAATTCATATATTTTGGCCACTTTTAAAAAAAAAAATTAAATACATACTGTTTTACACTATTATAATATAAAAAAGCATAGCACACAGTATTATATAGTATATTCTATACAAATAAATAAGAAATTGCTCAATATATCTAACACAAGACACTTCGTTTTCTTTTTCTTGTAATAAAAAAGGGAACCTCTAGCTTCGCTTTTATTAAACAAACAATGTTAGGTACATTAACATCGACGAATCAGCAAAAAACTGAAGCAAACTGAACTGCTAACTGAATTTGCTTTAATTTTCCAGTTCGTTATTCATTGTTTGCCCGCAGCTGATAAATATAAATTCATCGCGCCGCTTACTCCGATGCAATACAAGCAAGATATTATTAAATGAACAAACTACTTATGGAAGTGGCTTCGTCTCCATGTAAATGTAGTTTATTCGATAGTGGTGCGAATAATGGTGTATTGTGAAGGTAGTGGAAGGGTAAGTCGCATCGTGAATCCGTCTATTGGAAGTGTCGGGAAAGAGGTCAGTGTGCGCGGCAAGTGGGTCAGGGCGGATGCACCGGCGCGGAGGGGGCGAGGGTCGCGGGGCGCGGGAGGGGCGGGCGCCTGCGCGCAGCGTGCATCGATCGCCGCCCACGCGGCGCACCGCTCGAGTGGTCCGCGAGTCGCGACGCGAGCCCCGGGCTGTGCCCCACGAAGATGGCGGCGTGAGCGCGCGCCCACGGCCTCCGGCGGTCATGCCGCGATGGCCAGAGAGGTAACCGCGACGTGACTGGCGCCGCCGCCCTGCAGCTAGCGCGCTCCGGCACGCCCGACGCGCCCGGACTCATGGTTATTATCCTCGGTCTGCGTCCCCGTGCCCCCGTGCCGCCGGATAGCATCTGGACCAAACGCGACCCCCTCGTTTTTTTGTAGTTCAGTGCATTTCGGTGAAGGTGTGATCGAAAGTGCCAGGGATCTGATCGGACCCTGCCCCGGCACTGCCGCAGCCGGCGTCTCGTTCGCGCACGCCGCATGCCGCCTATCCGCGTCTCGCTCTCTCTGCCGTAGCCCGTTGCACATGCAACTTGCATTATTCAAAATCTGTGCCAGATTACACGATGTTCTTATATGCGGATCCTTTCAGCCACTATTGATTTTGCAACAGAGATTTAAAATTAGGCCATGTTTACATGTTAAACTGTGCCTAAATCCAGGTTTATCTTTAAAAAGTATTATTAAACATATAGCTATTGCCTTTTTTAAAGGTTTACTTATTCGTGTATTTTATTATTGCTGTTTATCAATTGCCTTAGGCTTAGGCTTATAGATATCTATAGGAGAAGTTTATTGAATTTGAAAAATGGCATGTAGTTTCTACATTCTGTTTATTGTAATCGTGAATTGTTTTCGTAATAAAGTGCATTTATTAACGAATATTTTCATAACTTTTCCTTAAATTTTGACAGATTTGTGAATAGATGTATATTGTGAGTGGGCACGGCACATGCGTACAAGCTCCATCGAGACAGGGCTAAGCCGTTAGCCGTATTGAATCTCTAACTAGTTCTAACCTATTTTCTAAATTCAGCTTATATCTTTCACACATAAAACAATACAATATTTTCGTAGTTTTCTCCGGTATTATGTACAGTGCTGCAGGTTCATAATGAAAAGAATTATTGCAAACATTAACGATTTGGAAATACATTTTACGAAACTAGTTTTTAAAATAATTATCAGCATTTATCAAATAATAAGTTTGCTAATATCTATTTGAACCGGTTTTTTTTTGTAATAAGTAAGCCAAGTTATTTTTTTTCAGATTTCTTTCGGTAATACCATTTTCAGCCATGTTTGAGAAGAGTGTTCGGAATACTTCTCTAACTTATAGTTTTATTATATAATGGAAGAATCTTTCAAACGTTTTTTTTAACAATAAAAAAAAACTAATATATGATATATTTTTGACTTCGCATCTTTAATTCTATCAATTCGAACCGACCGACGACCTTTTGTTTCTGAGTCATATTTCTGTTATCAGCAATAGAGGTTACAGGATGTCTTTTTTTGTGTAAACTTCAAAGTTAACAGAAGCCTTTTTTGTATCCTTTGTCAATCACCTACATAAGTTCTTCAACATCCTTGTTAAAATATTTTCACACTTAATATAATAATATATGTCAATTTTTTATTAAATGGTAGTGGTATTATCCGGGATAACAGCAAACTTATATTTTTTGAGGATCGATTTTAAAAGTAATAACTAGCAAACAAATTTTACATTGATTAAATCTAAACACTGCAATTAAATTCTGACCAATTAAGTTTTGTCGATTATAATAGGGAAGGCGATATGTTTACGGTGATTTTGGTCTCGGAAACCAATGGTAAATACTCTAAGATTCCAGTTCCTATTAGCAATTTCCATATACATGGTCTCTGTCTTGAGGTAAACGAACAATCTTTTCCCACCTTATTTTTTCCCTTTGTTTGTCTTCATTATGCAAATAGAGTAATATATAAACAAAAATAAGATCCCAATGCACTTAAATGTATCATTTCTACTATATCGAAATTGATTCATAAAATATTTTATGTTTATATCGTCGAGTGAATATTGCATTAATAGGTAAAAGCTTTTATATCGTCTCCAAAACGAGTAGTCGAAGCATTAAATTGCTAGTTTAGATGTTTCAATACATTAACAATAGGCATTTCGAAAATATAGCCATTTAACCAAATTAAAAAAAAACTAAATTAATGTTAACAATGACATTTTATAATCTGGGCAGTCGTTTCAACTGCCATTTTTTTCCCACAAAAATCCCCCGCCATTCTTATCCAACGCACTCGTCTAACCTTGAAGAGATCTTGGGTCCATGGGGTGGAATTCAGAACGGTATCTAATGGTAAAATTGACAATCTTGTAATAGATCGCCTTAAATGGTAGAAGCGTCTTGATTATTAAGTACCCGGGTTTAGAATCAACACTAGGATTAATTATGCTTATTACCATGAAACATATACCATACTAGCGGCCGCCCGCGACTTCGTGAGCGCAAAATTGAAAAAGTATCCTATAATATTCCCAACACATCACCTACCTTCCTGTGAAAATCTCGTCCAAATCAATCCTGCCATTTCGGAGATCATCCGGAATAAACCTACCTTACTGACAGATAGACCAAAAATTAAAAAATAATCCGTTATTGATTTTTTCGATACGTGCACTCAAATTTGATCAATATGTAAAGGTTAATTTCTCGAAAATTTGTAATAAATACGTGCAACATTGAACATTGTGAAAAACAAAATTTAACAACAGTGTAGATTTACAGCGTAGATTTTTCTTTACACGATATTAAACTATTATGTGTCGTAACGATGAGTAGACTAATGTGAAATTGATGATGGATCATCAACTTTGATGATTTTCTTACATCTAAGCACCTGTCACGAAAAATATATGTATGTGATTACGTATTGTGTTCAAGCTTTATCTATACATATTAATAAAATTGAAGTGTTTGTATGTAACATAAAAAAATATTTCATGCACGTCATATATTTGCGTTGCTGTTAACAATAAAGGTTTTCTTAAAATTTTTGTTTGTCTGTCATGTAAAGAAAAGGAATATGAGGATTTCTTTCGCACAAATCCTTCGAAGCCTACTCGTAACTATATTACAATGATGTATTAACTTAATAACATTAATATTTACTGTATAAAAAATCATTTAGTTAGATATCTTTATCTATATAATATATATCTTATAGCCTAGCCTTTATTTCATAAGCCTATGGGCAGTAAACTGTGTTAAATTTGTACTAAATTACTTTATCGTAGACTGATGGTGACGGCCACTCACACCGTTCAACTATAAGTACACAGAGCACGGCCGCCGACCGCACAGTGTGAGCGCACTCTCAACATTAAAGTGACCTCTGCAGGCCAACGAATTTTTAACGCCCTTCTAACTGTAGAGGTGACTTTATATTAAACGCGTCTATGCCTTTAGACGGCTATATAATTCATTATTGATATTGGCTATTTTCGTCACTCCGTGGGTGTCTGAACTTTTGAAAAAACATACAATAAAGCACTTGTGCAAATAACCGTAGGTGTCACTAATCGCGTATCAACCCACAACGACTAGATATCATATAAATAAATATATTTATCATAATGAACAATTAATTTGTTGACATATATATTTTTTTAAGCAACACACGGAATTTTATTTTCGGCCTTGACAAATATCTAACGAAGAAAGTATTATAAGATAATAGATAGATGATAAAAGAAAAATAACAATTTCTAAAGAGAATTGCAAATGATTATCTATAGGGTTAGTTAAATAATAATGATCATTGATGAATTTCTTAAACATTCAAATC